AAATTCCATTGACCTTCGCTTAGTTTTAACCAAAATTCATGATCGCTTCCCCTTAAGACTTTTTTAAAAAAAACCTTACATCCCAAAAATCGGACTTTTTTATGGATATAACGCAGTATTTCGCACGGGGCTCCTACGTTATGTGTCATTTTCATGGGGGTTTGCCTGTTTTTCCATCTCTCGCGGGGGTCCCCCCCCCCATTTCATGCGACGGGCACATGATCGCGTGAAAGGGTGGCCTCTGTAGTCTGCACCTCTGGCCGCTTCGCTGAAAGGAAAAGTACCGTGTGATCATGCAACCGTTGCCAAATTACCCGCGATGAAATGATTTACACCGGAAAAAAAAAAAAAAAAAAAAAAAAAAAAAAAAAAAAACACATTGGATCTAGAGTCCAGACTCTCGAAAACATTGACAAGAAAGAAGACTCTTGATTCAAGCAGATTTAAGCTTAAATCAAAAGGAAATCCGCCCAAATTAAGAGGCTTGGCTCTTGATTGAAGCTCAAATCTGATTGAATCGAGAGTATTTTTTCTTGTCGATGTTTTTAAGAGTCGGGACTCTAGATCCAATGCGATTTATTTTCCAGTGTACTTTTGAGGAAGCTGATGAATAAAAATCCCTCGTGTACCAGTTTGAATTTCTCGAGAGCCTCTCCGGGGAAAGCAGAAAGAAAGGTGCGCAGACTTCGCAGATAACCTGTGCTCAAGGCAACGTCTATGTGGATGTATTTCTATCAAACGGAACTAAGTGCATTATGACGTGAGCCCTGTTATGCATGTATTTTTATGGGTCTCAGGGCTCTTGTCTTAATGCACATAGTTCCGTTTGATAGAAATACGTCCATGTGTTTGTACGTGCGTCGGCTTTCCTTAGCGCGGAGCGTGAAGCGGGGGCGGAGAACTGAAACCCACTCCACTAACACTGGAGTCCATTATTCACCTCCCGAATAAACACTGAACGCTCACAAGCCAATATTTGTTTTAACCAGCGCAGCGCACGCTCGCTCGCGATCTTGCCTGCTACACAGCCGTCCTAAGGGGTCGTTCATAAAGCACATACCGCTCTAGGTAGGTCGAAGAGAGCGTCAAGTGATTTTGTCTTGTAAGCGTCCTGAATTTATTTTATAGAAAGGACTAATGGGTGAATTTTCTGAAAACTTCCTTTTAGATCATTGTACAATCCCAAAGATGATTCAACGAATCGTATACTTTTATGTGATCATAACGGATGAAACGTCCATAGTTATTCGGAGACACCCCTAACTGAGTAATGCCCTTTTCATATCTTTTTCCTCTTTATCCTCTTCAAGTGTTCATGTATGGACGTTAAAAGAGCACATTTCGTAGAATCGCTCGGTAGTAGTATGCGTCCACCGTCCAAGAATAGTATTCCGCGAAAACCTCCGAAAATGTGGCGGTTACGTCGCTCCACAAGTAAAGCGTCGATTTGAGATAAACATGAAAGGGTGAGAGGATGGGTGAGCCCGCTTCCGCGGCGAATGATCCGGATGAGCGAAGATGGGAACAAGAAATTGGGGACGGCGCGACGTGACGGCGCGGCGGACTGACCCTTCCGGCGGACGGGTGGACGCGGCGTCGGCGTCGGCGGGTAGCCCACCCTCGGCCCTCGGCCGCGGCGGCTCCAGCTCCGATGCGGGCGGCTCTGGCGCCGGCCACCGACGACGCCGCGACGCCACCCGCGCCCTAGAAAGCGCCCCTCGTCAAGGGCGGCGGCGGCACTATCTCGACGGGCTCGACGATTGGACATCGATCCGGTGCTTCTTCATCCGCTTTCCGCGTTCAAGCCGCGAGATAGTAGCCGCCAACGGAAGGACTCAACAGCCGGAATCATGCGCCCCTAGCAGAGCCGGGGGAAAATTATCCGGAAATTATTCGGTCAATCAGCAACGTCCGGTGAATCGTCAATTGGATGTATCTGATCAGTCAGAGAATTTTGAGGACCGAGCGTCCAGTCAGAGTTGCAGCACCAATTTCAGTAATTGCCGAAGTATTCGCGCCCAATTCCGGCCCCGAGGACGTCATCAAAAGTTGCCCGATGACGTAATCCTCTGTGGCGTGGCGTGCTTTGCGATTGATCGATTGAGCTGCCATTTAAAGCTATGGAAAAGGATCGATTATCAAGGTGTTCGCAACGAACGCCTTAATAATCGATTCTTTACCATAGCTTCAAATGGGGAAATATCGATTTATATATCGAAGCACGCCACGCCACTGGTCATCCTCGAGATTCTTGGAAGTTGGCAACACTGTCTCTATGTAAAACAATCGATTCTTTGAGAGGCAGCTTGCCTCGCCTAAAATCGATATTTTTAAATGGAGGAAAAGCAGTGTTGCCAACTTGCAAAATCACCAACTGGAGTCATCCATGAGAATTCTATCGAATAGTAGGGAAATTTGTTAAATCTTGAATCTGAGAATCTGAAAAAAACATCAGGGCTGTCGAAAGGAGTCTCGCTCCGAGTTTAGTGCTCGGAGTCATACGAGTGAGAAGAGAATAGAGGAATACTTTTCAATAAGGAATTGAAATTTTAGTCGATTGAATGATGTTTACTTGCAGAAACAAAGGTTCTCGCTTTTCTGCCATTTGCAGTGGCATTTATGCCAAAAATTGTCCATTTCAGGTCTACGCATGCTAATTGTTAATGGGTCAGTTGCGCTGGTCACAGAATCGTGTTTTGATGCTTGATTCTGGTAGATCAGGCAAAAAGAATAAGATCGGTCCGTATAGCAACGTTCTACGTTCAGTATAGTGAACGTAGAAAGTATATATATGGACCGATCTCATTATTTTAAGCTGAAGAATCAAGCAACAAAACACGGATCTGAACCAGCACAACTGATCGATTTGAAAATTAAGAGATTTGAATGATTTTGGTAGAGATTTTGGACAGGTCAGAAAGTTTCTTATTATCAAGTCCTTAGACATTCCGCTAGCCTAGTCGCGTCTATAGTCATGATAGTCACTAATCAAGGATATTTCCTTTCTATGTTACAGGCACAGCAAACATGACCGGTTTCCACCCAATCTCAATTCAAGTACCACGCAGATCATCCACCACTTCCAGGATTTGACTTCAAACAAGAAAATGCCATTGTTGGAGCCCCATCCGCAACTTCACCAGCAACAGCAAACTTCAGAAAATAATTCCGTTTCCGGATTTTCTCCCGTGAAAAACATTGAAAATACCAATAACAACCTCCTTAGTAATAGTATTTTAAATACAAAAAATGAAAATTATGCCAAAATCAATAATATTGATGGCAGTAGTGGAATTCTCACTGAGATATTAGTTAATAACAACAACAATAACAATAACAATTTTAGTATTAATCGATTAAGTTCTGGCTACAAAATATTTGATATCCAGAAGCAAACAAATCCTTTGCTGAATTATAATCTATTCTTATCAGATTTAGAAGAGTCAAATTCTTTATTGCAAGAACCGAATCATTTTAATGCTCCTATTGCAACTTCAGAGAGCAATAAAGTTTTGTATAAGAAGGCCATTGATTGTAATTGGTCTGAAAAGCTGTAGCTTTTGTTTGCAATTGTTGTTTTTGTTTTTTGTACATAAGTAATTCATTGTCTAGTCATTTCGTGTCGCTTTAATTTGAAGCCTTTCCATTGTGTATTCCATCAGTACCTATCATTATTTCTAATGTTCTCTCGGTTTTTCAAGCATCTACACCTCATATTTTGCTTTTCTTACAGGTTTCAATTTTAATATTGATAAGTTAAGGTGAAAACTGCTTTTGTGAAGCACGTTAATCATTTTAGTCTCCCAGTTAGTCATTACCCTTGTATGCGACGAATAACAAAGGCGAAATTCTCAAACCACTTATCTCGTTTGCAGTGTTTTAAAATCTCCGCTTTTTATTTTTTTCAAGGAGAACAAATCAACATTATACCTTGAAGTTTTTTTTTAGAATTTTCTTCTCATAGAGATATGAAATCACGGGTGTTGTTCAGCATTTACGGCGAGTTGTTTTCCATTTGAATCGGGACGTGCGAAAACCGCTAACGTCCATTTTTCCAGTCTTCAGTTTTTTTAAGTTGATCATACTTTTAAAGAGTTGACACAACCAAAAAAGTGATGAAAAGACTCGTTTTGGAATGAAGGTAACCCGGAGGTGAGTATTCACGCCACTTACCTGTTTGCATCCAACTCTAAGAAGTATTATCAACTCAAAAAAACTGAAGACTGGAAGAATAGACATTAGCGGTTTTCGCACGTCCAGATTCAGTTCAAAATAAATTATGACAGGAAGTCTGCAACATCGCAAACCGAGATACGTGGTTTGGAACTTGGGGAGTTCCACTGTCGATAACTTTTTGAGATTGGTGGATCTTTGAAAACAGGACTTTACTCGCGAAAGCATCCTAGCGAACACCAAACTTTACCTCGACAGAACTCTTAACTCATCGTCATCGACAAAGGGCACTCCGTGTTCCTTAGAGCTCTGTTAGCACTAACGCTCTCCCGACGTAGTGCCAGCGGACAGCGTTAGGCGTTAAGGACCGAGTGGCATGGACCTAGAATGGAGACAAATTGATTCCAAGTTTCACCTCTTTTCGCAGTTCAATATGAAGAACAAACTCTAAGTCTAATTTGCACCAACTATAAAAGTGTATTGTTCGTGGTCTTTCGTCAGGAGGAATGATGCCTGTAGACAAGATTGCTTCTCTATTTTTTCTAAGATATCGCCTTGCTTCTTTCCGCGAAACGCTGGGCAAGTCGTGTTCTTCCATTCTCTCCTCGCCACTGATAGAGGACTGCCTTCCTATCTACAAATTCTGCTACAATTTGAGACGGAACCCTTTATGTGCCCAATTTCTAAAAGAGTATTAACGGGCAATAACCAAATGAATATCCAAGTTGATTCTTGTAGCAGCTTAGTACATTTACAATTAGCTCCCAATTGTTCCTGCCCGTTCTGGTGTTTTCTTATTTCCAGAAGGTAAGCAGCTCTGTAGATGGACTCATTTTTCGCCAGAAATTAATTTCCTGAAGACTGACCAGTGCCTGTTATATAAATTTGCCTTAGTACTAATTTGTATATTTTGTAAAATTGTAATGAGCTCCTTTGGTTATAAATGAAACGAACCATAGATTAGAAGTATGGCAGATTTTAAAAATCTGTTAAAAGTATTGATAATTGGACTGCATTTTGCAATTTGGAACTATAGATTCTGGCCCGGTTTAAAAACAACGTATGTGCCATTGGTTTCCCTATGCACGTAAGTGTTTTTTCAGATGAGCCAGAATCTATAGTTCCAAATTGCAAAATGCAGTCCAATTTGTAATTACTTTTCTCCTTCAATTTCTTAAATCTCTTTCGATTATGTCTTACAGATCTTTTGATTACCTGCATTTATCTTGTAAAATTAATTTGTCAATATGTTTATGTCTTCATTTTATGACCATACTTAATGTAAGATTTATATTTCACTGTTTACATTAATTGTTGTAGGTACCCAATGTGTGAATTTTTCACAAGTTTTATGCACCATCTGTGATAAAGTACATCTCTAAAACTTCGGTTTTCTTTCGCATCAAAATGTTAGTGATTTTGATAAGCAGCCTTTAATCTGTTTTCAATCATTCTAAGTTTTTCCTTCTATCTGAGCTTCAAGTCAAAAGGAGCTTACCTATAATATGAAATATATTTCGTAACAGAATATTTTGCAGCCTGGTGCATACGTATTTTTAGCCATTCAACTAATGTTAACTTCTACTACCCACAGCCATAACCCACGCCGGTTGGTGCTTTTTTCTTAGACTCAACGTTCTACCTACCATTTGAAGTCAGTTAATCCTTTCAGACATTTTTAGTCGAAAAAAACACGATCTCTGATAAAAACTTTCCCCCATTCCTTAGTTGAAAGCATTAATCGTGTAAAAAAAATTGCTTCGGAAGGAAGTATGACTCCTCTTTTTAAAGAACGTAACTATTATCATTGCTCAAGAAGTTATTTTTGTATCAGAATTGCTCTGGGTATCTACGTAAGTACTTTTAAATTTGCAGATGTGCTGCATCTAATAAATATGATTTTTTAGTTTTGAAGATGGTTCTTTTTTGATTGAAGATCGTCAACAATATCCATTTTTTCAACCTCAACAATTTAGAATTGTGTAGACCGTCCCTTTTTTTAAAATTTCGTCCTGTGTTTAAAACTTTGTTAATTGAGAATCTGAATCAATCTCCATCGAAGGTAAAGGTAATTTCAAAACTCCCAAATACTTCATGATGGTTTTCAGTGCTCCGTACTTAAACCAATGAAAGTGGTACACTACCTACCTATTTGACAGATATTTGCTTTTGAAAGCAATGTTTTTATCTAAAAAACTTTCATGAACCTTCAGTAACACACTTTTCCCAAGGAAATAAATTGTCAAAAGACTTCATCTTCATCGACTGTCACTTGTGTTACACAAATACTTACAAACTAACTGTACTATTTTCCTGTTAATCCTTTTCCTCCTCTCAATTGTACCTATTTCTTGGAAATCGTCCAACTTTTGTAATTATAAAGTGTTAATATTTTATATAGTTTTTGTATAATAACGATTCGTACAGTTTTTCCTCTTTTCTTAATGAAATAAAATGATTGTTCAAATTGATCCATGCTTTAATTTTTTTCTTTTTACTGTATTTTGCCTTGCCTCGGGAAAAAGAGGGCCAGGAGGGAAGAAGATATGCAAAAATGAGAATTTTTACTTTAATAGGTACTAGTATCGCATTGACAAGAGATGGATTATGGAATGAGTAATTTTATTTATTTTCATTCGAAAGCTCTTCTGCACCAACGTCTTAATTAAAGCGCAAGGTGAATGAAGGTAAATAACATGATCGTGATTTTAAGAAGTTCAAATCATAATGTTTTATTACATTGAGTTTCTTGGCTCATGAAAAGCATGCATTGATGTTGCAGAGCTGATAGTTTAGTTCTTAAGGACTTTTTTCCTTTTTTCGTTTTTTTTTACCAAGTCTGTAGTTTAACAAATTTACTTCAAAACCACCTTAACTTAATTCTCCTTTCATTACTAGAGACTTGCTAATAGCCCAAAAACAAAGACTTACCTCTCTGTTTTAAAATTATTTGAAAAGGAGCATGTGAAAACATAACTTCCAGTTTCCTTTTGAAAAAACTAGTCAACATGGAATAAAAATAAAAATACATTCAAAGCTCGCAAAGCTCTCTTTTTAATTTTGATTAATTTAATTTGAATTGATTTTACTTTAAAGAGTCGAATAAAACATTGAAACATTAAAGTTTGTATGACTCTTCACTTAAAAAAATCGGCAAATGCCGATTGCTTGTCCAACTTTAATTTGCCGGAGATCAGGACGCTTTCCAGCCTTTGGACACTCGCGATCACCGATTGCGATTTTGTCCACACGCGGAAAGCAATTGTTCGAGATGTCGAAGAATAATTCCTAATAATTAAATAATTTATACACGGCCAAGGAGAACAGGTAGCAATTTTAATCTTTTTGAAGAGAAATTATTCCGTATTAGCATCGATAAAACCACTCCCTGAAACTTTTGCCTCGATTCTGGTCGGTTTTCCCTTTTATTTAATCCAAAGGAAAACTGAAAGCAATAAAATTTTGAATTGGTGCAAGTGTTTTTATTTATAATCCGTTCATTTGCTGAGGTAATTACTCATTTTGAGAAAAGCAATAAATCATTCTGTTCTGAGGAAAACCGAAGTAAGCTTTCTCAAAAGATACACCACCTTAATTTTATTAATTGGACTCTACGGAAGCTTGATGGTAAAAGTACCCGAAAAATATGTTCCTATTGACGGCTTATGTCCATAGGCAAGCAATAGAATCATACTCCGAAATTCATTGTGTCCAGTGTACGTACACTGCACGAGTGGCAGAGATTAGATATTCATGTGCTCTTGGGCGTGTGATGATTTTATTCTTTTTTTTTTCTCTCTTCAAAATTGTTCTCCTCTTTTCATTTATTGTTGTTTTTCTAAAAATTCAGTAAGCTGTCTGCCTACGCGGCCTATCTTTAAATATATTTTCTCAAATACAGATGAAGTTCAAACTGAGTGAAGATTATTAAGCCCAATATTAAGCTTTCTCATAGTGCAGTGATTTTGAACTCATTAATGTATGCAAATTTTACAACCTTCTCAAGTCCACAGAACGTAACGGCACCCATTTCTAATGCATACGGGAGAGCCTGATACTTTTAATTAATTGCTGGATGCTGACGATTGAAGTTTATGAGAGCGCCTTTACCTTATGCTCCTCACCAGACTGCAACGCAAATTGCATGCCTCCCAGATAGAAGGCGCTTCTCTCCGCCCGGAAAAACTTCCTGCGTGGTAATTCCATTCTCTTTAACTTCGTTGGCTGTGCAAAGACTATAGCGCAAAACCCCATACGGAATGCGAGGATGAATAACTGTTATCACCACATTCACTATAAATTTTTATTTGGGGAGAAATTTCATTTTACCCCTTTGGGATGATTAACTGTGAATAAGACAGCGCTCATAATTAAAAGTTAGTTATCTGTTACGTCCGTATCTAACTTCAAAACGGTCAATCTGTAGAACGGCCGTTTCGCCCAAAAATTTCGCACGTTTTCCATAAAAATGTGTGCAAATGTCCAATATTTTGTGGACATTTGCATAAATCGGACCATTTTGCAACAAAACTCGATCGAGGGCGCAATATAGAATAATAAAATTTAAAAATTTTCCTTCACTTTTTCATAGACTTAGGATTGTCCAATGTTCAAAACTATTGGGTGAGTTTAAAAAGTTTTTTTTTGTTGCTGAGGGTGTGAAAGGCTCAGGGTCGGAGATAATTGAATAAGGTGAAAATTTATCTTACTACTCTGTCGGAGGGACTTAGCGTCCAATGGCACTGAGGTTGTGAAGCCCGGAAACACTTGAGTGCTCACCTAAGGAATAGTTCCGCCACATTTTGAGAGGCTGTTCCAGCTTCTTTTGTTCTCGTTTGTCTGGTTTCTTGTGACACTTTTGCAGCTTCAGGTACGTTTCTGCTTGATACCAAAATTTTCGGCAATCAGGAAAATTGACTGCATCGTAAAAAAGCCCAGATCAGCCGCAAAATCCGGGAAAAGGGAAATAACTTGGAGATCCGATAGCCTCATATCAATCATTCGATTATCCCTCGTGACATTTTGCTGTGCTACTCCAGTGCTGCCACTTCTCCACCAAAAGTAAATAATTAGGCATGTTTGTGCAAATGTTCATTCTCGCAAAGCAAGACCATTTGTGCAAATGTCCTGTAGCGAACATGTTGATGCATCAAGGTGGAAAAGAAATCTGTGAACTATTCACGTTTTCAACACCAAAAAACATTGACCGCAGGCAAGCTGTAGGTACTCAACTGTGTGTCTTCAATCAGTTGAAAAGAGTAAAACAAAAACCAATTTTTGTTGATATTACATTTATTTCCCTCAATATAAATCTACCTATTCGTAATTTTCTTTGTTCGTTTTTTCTTCCTTTTTTCCGCTAGTAGTTACCTATATATTCGAAGATTCAAGTCTTAAGAAATCCGGAAAAATTCATCACATTTTGCGTCTGCCAGAATGTCTGTAAAACAGTCATCGAAGTAGAGGGATGCAAGTGAAAAATACACTACAAACCAAAATTTATGTTCGATTTTAACATCCTGAATTCTCCAAAACGATTATAAGCTCACCCCGGTAGTAAAGTGAAGTATGTGCATTTTGCTCTCTTTCAGTCTCGGATACTTGATTTCTCCTTCCTTGGAAAAGGAGAAATAAATTTTAAGGTGAAGCTTCACAAATATTTAGGGCAGCTCGGGATTTATGACATCGATAAATTTTTGGCCTCATAGTAACCTCAAGCCATTTTTTATTTATTTTTTTCATGTAATTTTCTCGTGGTTAACTTTTGTAAATACGCGCAAAAAAAAGCGCGTGGCGTCGCTCCTCCCGCGGTTGTCATTTTCCAAATGACTTGCTCGGCAATGTTA